CTGGGGCTGGTCCCGCAGGAACTCCAGGGGGTTCTCTCCCGCTGGCAGGAAAGAGGCATGTAGTCAGACCCCAGGCTGGGCTCCCAGAAGCATGGGGGTTGGGGAGGGAGAAGTCTGATGCCTTGACAGCAGACACCCCACATGCACCCCTCCCAACTCACTCACCTGGTTCTGTGGACGTCTGCTCAGACACTTGGCTCTCCTGGACAGAACCATGTTCTGGCTCGGGACTCCCAGGAATTCCCTGTCAGGGGTCCTATTTAGTTCTAAAGCACAGAACACCCGCTGCCTCCCTCCTGCACGCTCAGCCCTGGCAGGAGATAGGTGAGGCCCACCCATCCACTCATGTCCAGCCTTTTGTAGAAAGCCTTTCCTGGCTGGTACCACAACCCAAAGGCTTTTGGGGGCAGGTTTTGCCTCCCTGACCACCCATCAGGGCACTGAAGCCCATGTACTCCGTAGAAGCCTCCCCAGGAGGCTGTACCCCCACCTCACCGTGAGTAGATACTCCACCGCTCGGTGGGGGTTGTTGTAGCTGGCTCTCAGGGCGGCCACGACCCGTTCCCGCTCATAGCCCATGGACATGATCTCCGTCAGCATCGTCTCATATTCAGAGCCAGTCACTGTGGAGGGAGCAGTGAGGTCTGGGTCACCAGGGAAAGGGAAGGAGAGCTCCCAGACCCTCCCAAACCCACACAAGACCCAACTGATGGCTGGAACACCCAGTCACTTCTGCCCCAGGGACTGCCCACCCACCTAGCGTGGAGGCTGCATCTTCCTCTCTCCCGCTGCTACCTGAAGAAGGAACAGAGCTGCAAATTCAAGAGAGAGAAATCGGACCGGCTTCTGGAGGCCTGCCCTCCCCCTGTGTGCGTAAGACCACAATATGTGGGCAATGGAATGTGCTGGGAGGACAGGGCCCAAGTTGGGACTGCTGCTCCCTGCCTTACCCTGACACAGACTCCGGGGATGCCGTGGGGACTGATTCCTCCGATGGACTCCTGTCTTCTCTGACGGTAGGTGGGGTATGGGACATGCCTGAGGCGGGGGCCAGCGGGAAGGATGTGGAGGACTCAGGGGCAGCAGTGGATGAGGCCTCTGGGGGTACTGAGGTGCCTGAGCTGTTTTTGGCCTGTCATACCCAGAAAAAGGGAGCAGGCATCAGTATCCCTATCAAGCCTCAACATCCAGTCACATCCAGGCCCCACCCTATTCACGGCTAATCTCTCATGGGCACACAGGCTCTAGCCAGCTCCCCAGCTAATCCATGTAATCCTCACAACCAGCACATTTCACCCACCTTGGTCACCATGACAACTACAAAGTTTTTCTCATCTATGCGATAGTCCCTGATGGGGACATCATCACTCAGGATCTTGCCAGCATAGATGAGTTTCTGTCCAGCCACAGGAAAGGCATCACGACCCTTTTCAGCTTCTATCTTCTCCTTTAGCACCTTCACCTGTAGGAAGGGATGCGGTCATTGCAAATCGCAAGATTCTCTCTTCTCTTCTAGGTTGGGGAGAAGAGGCTGAAAGCCTTGATGACGGAGAAGCTAAGATTCATAGTCAAATATGTTAGATTTGAGTTATCTGATCATTCCAACATTCAACAGAGTATTTACAGAACACTTATAACGTGCCAGGTGCTGTTTCAGACACTGAAGACACAGCAGGAAACAAAACACAAGGCCCTGTTCTCATAGAGATGTCACTCATGTGGGGAAGAGAAAAAACAAATATGTATTTCAGATGATGAAAAGTGTGGTGAAAAACAAAACAATTTGGGGAGTTAAGAGGGTTCCTCATTCCACACTGCAGACAGTGCTCAGTTCTTAATGAGAGCATAAGTTAATAGGGCTGTCATAAATGCGTATGCGCCACATTTTTAGAGACTCACAATATTTCATATTTAAGAAAATGGAGGCACAGAGAGGTTAAGTAATTTCCCCCAAAGTCAAAGACTTGAGCAGGTCAAAAAAACAAAACAAAAACCTGTGTGTTTCCTTTTCTGCAAAAAGTGGATGTCAATGTCTCCTTCATGGGGTGGTTGTGCAGAAAGTGCCAAATACATAAACAGTCCATATGTCTGTTGGGTCCTAAATTCCCTTTTCAGCTAAAAAAGCAGAATAATGCTTAGACTGTGGGCTCTGACATAAGGCAGAACCGAATTTGAATCCTAGCTCTGCCATACTCGCTGTATGAGACTATGGCCAAGTTCCTTAGGTTTCCAGATCTGTAAAGTGAGGAGTCAAGAGTCCCGAAATGACAGGCCTGTTTTGCAGATTTAGTAAGATAATAACAGTAAAAACTCAGCGACCAGCAAAGAACGGCCAACAAACAAGGACCACTGAAACTCAGGCCACTTATAATCATTATCATCATCGTGGCCGTCATCAGTGGGCATCTACTGGCCGCTACTCCCAGATTCGGCCACCAACGTCCCGAGGAGACGCCTGCAAAGCTGAGAACTCAGAGCCCCCGTCCCGGGGAGCGCAGCCCGGCCGGGCATCCGAGCCGGTCTCCCGCGCCCCGCGAGAGCGCTGACATTAGACCTGGGGCCTGGCAGGCGCCCCGGGGGTGGAGCCTGGTCCGGAGACCGGACCGTGAGCGCCGCCCCAGCCACCAGGGGCTAGGCGGGAGACCATTAGGGGAAGGGGGGCGGAGTGGTCCGGGAAAGTCAGGCAGGTTGGGAGGAGTGAACCGGGACCGGACCGCGCCATCCTCCAGCCCTCCCGCCGGGATCTCTGCCTCCCCGCCCCCATACCACCCTCCGAACCCGTCACTCCCATCCCAGGCTCCAGCCTGGCTCGCACCGTCTCGTCAGGCTCCATGCGGATCTTAAAAGTCTGCTGCTGCAGCGTCTTGAGCGTGATGGTGACGGCCATGGCGGGGCCCGAGCGACGCGGCGGCCCCGGGACCCTCACACAACATGCAACTCACGCCGCCGCCATCTTAGTGCCCAGCCGCACCGCTTGCCGACCGCTTCCGGGGCAGGCGCTGCGCGCGCCGACAATCAGAGCACGTGACCGGCGCGCGCGCGCTCTTCCCCTTCTCGACCCCTTCCCCCCACCCCCCCACCTTTGGCTTTCTTGGGCATGCGCACACTAAATTCTGCGCTGCTGGAGAGAGAGGGATGCTCCCGGCTGAGCAGGCCTGTCACGTGGCTTCCTGCGAGTGACGCCATGACCGTTAGCAGTGACGTCATGCGGCCACAAAATGGCTCCAGCGTCCCTACTTTCACCCTTTTCAGTTTATGACATTAAACAAAAATGTTCATGAGCTTGTTATAGATACTTGTATTTCTCCATAGATAGTCTTCATCGTTTTTGCACTTTCCAATTTAGTTTTATTCTGGTCTGGCCACCCTGACAGGAACCCCATGGGGCCCTGAAGTAGAACTTAAGACAGGAAAGGATACTTGAAAGGTCACCAATTAAACAAGTGAAAATATTTTTTAAAAAAATACATTTGGCTGTGGAAGCAGAGCCATTTTGTGGCCTCATTCATTCATTCCTGAGAGCTGAGTTTTTTGTAATGCCCCTATACTTCAAGTTTCTGGGACTCCCACATCTGCTGCCCCTTTCCCAACCATTTTGCCCACCCCCCTTATCCCCAGTCTGACCCCAAAAGTATTTAAGCAAGATATTAACTTTCAAGGCCCCTTACACTGAATTCAGAAGTCTCTCCATAAACTTGCCCTGGACATACCAATCCTGGAGGCGTCCCAAAGGACTGGGGCTCAGCCCCCAGGACCCAGGAGAGAAATTTGGAGGCCAATCCAAAGAACAAAGATGAAGGGTTGGGTGTTTGGGGGGAATGGATGGAAGTGAAGCTGTGTTTAATCTCCCAGTTTACTTCCCTTTGTACCTGCTCTTCTCATGGTTCCCATCTAAGCACTCACCCAAGCCTGGAACCAGGCAGTCACCCAACCTTACTCACTCACTGCCCAACTGTAACCGGGTCCTGCAGCTTCTCCCTTTACTACGCAACCTGAGCCTAGAAGCTTCCACAAAGCAGGCCAGGACTTCAGAGGCAGCCTTGTGAACCCCAGCACAGCAGGCCTAGGCCAGCCTCAGGAGCCCAGACCCTGCTCTGTCACCATCTCTGCATCAACTCAACCTCTGCACCCTCCCTTGGGGCCACCTCTTTCCCTTCAAGTTTAAACCCAGCTTGCCCACTAAATACCTCCTCTGAACCGTGATTGTAACAGGAATAGCTTTTATCACTATCCAATTGTTCTTTGTAGTCTTGCTCCATAATAGGTAAAAAGTACATAAAGTTGTTAATATAGATGGTGTAAGATAGTATGTAAGGTGTGGGTTTAAATCCCTGTCCCATCTCTTATATTCTGTACTGGTCTCCTCATCAAACTGAACTGGTACTAGAATAAAAACTCACCAGTTTGGTGCAAGGACTCAGTGAGTTGTGAGTTAATACCTGCAGTATCTTAATGGCACTTAGTCCCCCTTCTTCCAGTGCTTTGTGGGGCTAAACAAAGACCCCTGTAACTTTATGGGACATCCAGCTGTTTTAGTGTCTGAAAAATTAACCTTATTGAAGTCACCCACTAAGAAAAGGCCACCTTCAGTTCCCTGATGTCTGTCTTCTCCCAGAAGGAGACACAGGAGGAAGACACAAAACTTAATTTAATAGAAATTTTGTTTGTAGTTCTTACATTCTCAGTGTGAGCTGAGCTA